CGCTGGCGGAGGCGGTCGGCGCGCAGGCCGGCAGGCAGGTGGACTGGGAGTACTTCTACAGCCTGCTCTTCACCTGCGAGAACCTCAAGTTGGTGCACATCGCCTGCCACAAGAAGACCACCCACAGGCTCAGCTGCGACCCGCGCAGGATCTACAGGCCCCAGGCCAAGCCCACGAGGAGGCGGGCTGCGCGCAAGCGCCCGTGACCCGGGCCACGGCCTGGTGCCGTGCGGGATTTTAACTGGTGCTATTTTTCTGCCACTGCAATAGCTTCTGAAAAACATGCTTACAGAATCTCCCTAGATTTCTGGCCTCAGCGCGTTTCGGCATGTTCCCTGCGCCTGAGAGCTGCGGACACCGGGGCCTGGTGCCCGGTCGGCGGGTCAGGGACCGGAGTCCTCCGACTTGACCCACTCTGCTTGCTTTGTGGCACAGTTGCCACGGGAACGGTGTCATGGCCAAAGCCTCCACCCTTGCCTGAGGGACAGCTCTGCCGGGTCTCCACTCCCCACACCGAAGCTCCATCCTCTGGACTCTTCCAAATGCTGGGATCGTGACCCTTTCGGGGTGAACTGCTCACACCTCACAAGGAGCACAAGGGCGCTCGCTGCTGTGCTGTTCTGGCCGGAAGCGGGCCTCCCACGCCTGTCAGAGGGGCGTGGCGATCGTGGCTCCGCGCTCAGCCACAAGATCGCTGGCGTCTAGGCCAAGCGGTCAGTGTTGATTTCACGGTTCAACCTCGTACGTGTAGCGAGGCCCCGCCGTGCACAGCGCGGGTGTTTGTGACTGGACACGGGAGCTGCCTGTTAAATGCACTGGCAGGTGGCCTAACGCTAAGGCCACGAGTGTGTCACACACGTGCTAGTGTGAGGCAGCTCGTCTGTGCACAGCAGTGATCCTGGGGACGGTGGGCCCGCCGGTTACAAGGACTGATGTTCTAAACCGTGTTTTATGAGAGTCGGCCCTCGTGTCCGCCGGCTGTGCCGCAGCTGGAATCCTCGGGTGCGGAGGGCCGACTGCACGCCCTGCTCTTCCTCGTTCTACATCAGGCCCTGAGCACCCTCAGATTCTTGGTGTTGGGGTGGGGTTCTGAACCAGCCTCCCGCGGGTACCGAGGAACGCTTGTACTTGAAGTTTTTAAAATGAGCATTTATTTCAGAATTTTTAAAATTTAGTTTTTTACCTTTTGTAACATTTGAATTTTCACATTTGTTGTAGAACCAGGGAAAGCAGTAAAGGTTTTTCACAAATAGACGTGTCAGAAACATTTGCACTCACTGACAATGATGGAAATGAGGATAAAAAAAGGGGTCAGTGACTTTTAAAAACCTACAGCTACACCACGGAGGCCAGCTCGGAGAGCGCAGAGAAACACGCTACTGGTTTAGGTAAAAGGTTAGAAGCCAACAGTGCAGGAAGAGGTGCACAGAGCCAGGTAGGCGGGACCCGGCGGAGCTTCCGGCCCAGGCTCACCAGGCTCACCAGGCTCTCCGCGTGTTCACCCACCAGCAGGAAGGTCTCTGAGAGACCAGCGAGCTGTGCGGTCCTCCGGTTTCAGTGTGGCTTCATCACAGTCCCGACTGGCCACGTCCTTGGCCATCGGAGACAGATTCAACCTCCAGGCTCTCCTCTCCCCGGAGGCCCACCCTTGGGGCCCAAAGCCACCTGGTTAACATGGCGAGGAGGCCCCACCCTTAGGGCCCCAAAGCCACCTGGTTAACATGACATCAACCAGTAAGGAAACTGCAGAGCTGCGAGCAGAGCCCAGGATGAAGATCTTATAAACCACAGGATAGCAGTGCCCACCACAGGTGAGGAAGGTGCTGCTCACCCGCCTTAAACGCGCCCCCTCTCCCCCCACCCAGGAGCCCTCAGGCCACGGCGGCCAATTAGGGGCTTGGCTGGGTGTAGAGGCTGACCTCGACTTCGGGGCCAGGCAGGGCAGGGCCCGCTTTGTCCCAAACACTTTAGAAAGGAGCACAGTTTCAGGGACACAGACTTCTTTAAAATATTTTCAAAATATATTTTATTTTTCGCATATAACTCCTGCAAAAAGTCCATGGTCAACTTCAGCCTCACACAGAGACGGGTTCTCGGAACTGCCCGAATCAGCCCGCGGAGGGTCAGCCCGTGAGGGGAGAGGCTGGCACATCACAGCTAACACTTACGGAGCGTTTCCTTTGCAAACCTCTCCCCTTCACCCTGGCCCGCGGCCGCCTCAAACCGGCCTCACGTCTGTACGGACGCAGACGCAGACCAGACGCCTCGTGCAAGCAGCAGCAGCTTCCTCCCGCCAGGACGCCCGGCTCCCAGCGGAGCCCCCAGGAAGTCGGCGTAAGGACACATCCTCCCGAGGATCAACTCCCTAAGTCCCGTAACCTTAACCTGTCAGCTGTAACCGCGTCAACACGCAAGGCAGGCACCGTGTGTGCTTTATTCCTACATCTCGGCGTCCTCCTCGTCGTCGTCATCTTTGGCTCTGAAATGCATCTTCCGGAACTCCCGTCTGCTCACGGAAGGACAAGACGAAGACGCCGGTGGGAGGTCCTGGGGGGAGAGAACACGCCCTCGTCAGTCACCCACCCTCTGCCTCGGCGCCTGCGGGGGCCACAGTGCAGCCCCCCTGCAGACAGGGGACCGCTCGGCCCACGTGGAGGAAGGGCGGGAAAGAGCCCAGGGCACATGACCCCCCCCACCCCACCCCCCACGCAGGCCCTGCGGGGACGCCGCCCAGCAGCCATGCTCCCTGTGGGGGGGCCGGGGTGGGCGTGCCCAGTGAGGAGCTGCCATCACCTGGGCTGAAAGATGACGGTGCACCTGCTACTGCGCTGTGGCAGTCCTCAAAGGCAGCCCCCAGAGCCCCCGGAGGGGAGACGGCACCCCTCACCTGCATGAGCTCCACGTTCCCGAAGAACCGGCTCACGGGCATGGGCTGGTTGCTGTCATCATCCAGGAAGGCGCTGCCGTCCATCTGCAGCACAGAGCCGCCCCCCGCGGTGGAGCTGCTGTCCGACTCCCCGCCGGGGAGGGCGCGGGGCAGGCCG